TCCCTCAGGATACTGGAGCTCATGTTCACCATTGGTTTGGAATCAGGGTTTTCCAACTTCCCTACGTGGACTTTCCGTGTCCACCAACCCGGTTAAAGCGCCGAACATTCGCTTTTCGTCCTCTCACTTTCGTGAACAACACCCCCGCCACGAGAAGGCAGTGAGTAGGACTTCCCTGGCAGAGGCTATATATTCGCGTGGCCGTATGAGAGCATTTCGAGAGGGAGAGCGGACTCTCCCCACTCTCAGCTGTACCAGGGCATTTGGGGGCACTCGTACAGTAACTCAGCCAATGTAACTTGGCACTAGACGTCCATCCATACAGGAGTTTGAAACTAGTCTATCAAGGTCAGGTTTCAGTGTTAGTTGAGAGTCTAATGTCAACCTCACCGGAATGCTTGATGAAAATGGGTAGCTTAAAAGTAACTGTTCCTCAAGATATCCTGTCTTCCCGGTAGTTTGGTCTGAAAATACATGTATTTCAAACAGTTCTACTGATAGATGACTTCAACTTAAGTCTCTAGTGCTTCTACATGCGGTGTGAGCCTCTAAGGAAGCCGCGTGCTTCGGTTTGGGCACCCGGACCCTATCCCATCCTTCACACAAATCGGGCGATTTATGTGGAGCACATCTATTTCGTGCTTCCTTGTACCAGTGTTTATGTGTTTAAATAAATAAATAATGCTTCTACATAATTGTGTAGTGTCGCCTTTTGTCTTTACATTCTGTTACCTGCTTCAGTTGTCTTGGGAGTCTCACCAGTCGTAATGGTCTGGTGTTTGACAAAATCTCACTATGCTATCAGTTTTAATTTTCTGTGCAGTGGATTGGAATATTTATCCACCTAGACTAAACTTGGTGCATAATAAAGTTAGAGTAGACCAGAAGAAAGCTAGGGGCTGTCGAACCAAGACATGGCATCAGTTCAGTCCGTGAAGTCATTAGGAATTGGACTTGGTCATGTTAACAGGTGTAGACTACGTGGTTGTTGTTCGCATGATTGTCTTAACCAATGGTCAGAGACTTTGAATGACATAACTCGAGATCGTTCATAGTGATCTAGGTTGGTCTGTTCATTTTCTACCGAATTTTTGAAACCCTAAATTCCTCCATAACATTTTTCACCTCCTTCACCAATTCATATTTTCTAGAATCATATATTTGATGCCTAGTCTTTCCTATTACCACTGATACTGTTACTACCTCCTATTCTGAGATTTGGTCTAACAATTTCATCCTGCTGTTCTAATGAGGTATTGCAACTTGGATCGATGTACGTACGTACCAGGTTTAATGTTGTGACTGACTGACTGCTGTCTAACATCGTCAGTAGTCAGTCAGTAGAACTTTGTACGTACGTACGTCAGTTCGAATTGTTATACCATATTGGCACAGAGATGCGGTTGTCAATTTAATACCCATAGTGGTAGAAGTAGTAAGAGTATAAGCGTTATATGAAAGATTAGGGTTTGAAGGTGTTATTTAAGGAGTATAATCCAGTGGAATAAATTTGGAAAGAGAAAAAAGAAAGGGACATGGGGAATTCAGAAGATTAGAATTTGGTAGAACACAAAAAGTGGATGCACCTGCGCCATTGCAAACGATTTTGAGCCATGTCGTTTAAGGTATCTAACCATCGGTTGTTATCATCTCGCGAATCCCAACCACGTAGTCTACAACTGCCAACATGGCTCAGTCCATTTGTCAGTGACTTCATGGATTTGTGCCACATTGTGGTTTAACTGCCCCTAGCTTCCAACCTACTCCTACACCATAAAACATCGCACGTCGGGGAAGTCGGCGGTCGGGCATGCGTAACACATGTCCCAGCCATCTAAACTGATGAAGTTCCACTACCTGATCAATCGACTTACCATCCTTACCTAGTACCTGTTTCATAACAACTGCATTACTTGGTGATCCCAGGATATACGAGCAATGCTTCGAAGACATCTATGATCGAATACTGGCAGCCTACGAATATCCTCTACTCTTATCGACCATGTTTCACTGCCATAAAGTAGGATAGAGCAAAATGCTGTGCAGTAAACCCGTCCTTTGGTTGCTAGACGGATATCTCGTCTACGCCATAAATGACGCAAGTTGGTGAAAGCTAGACGGAACTTCCGTATCCGTGCTGAGATTTCGTCACACACCAGAGCACAAGGACTGATGAGACTCCCAAGATAAGTGTAACGGTCGACACGCTCAACTACTTCACTATCTATCATTAGTTTGGGTGTCGATGCAACCCAATCCTGAAGTAACATTTTGTATTTCGAGGGGGAGAATCACATCCCAAACATACTTGCATTGTTGCTTATAGTGGTCAGTGGCATACATGGCGTCATTGTGACAATGCATTCTTTCGCATCTTATTTCCTCGGTGTGATTGAAGTAAACGCAATTCTTAACTACTATGGTATATACTTTTTCAGTCTGTTTGGTAGAAATAGTTTGACATCTCGTCCGTATTATCAATAGACGCAATGTTTGCTTATGCATGGACCTGATCTCTCGAATCTTTAGATTCTAGAATGATTATATATAACCTAAAAACGTTTTCGTCATTTTTAACATAGTAACTGTGTTATTACTTTATCTGTTATTCAGAATGGTTATCCAAATCCATTTTTAAACCAACAACAACCAAATTCAGACAATCCCCAAGTTCAGAATCCTGGTCAGTGTGCATCGCCAATTACCCAGCACCAATCCCAGCTAAATCAAGCTCAACCTTATAATAACCTCAAACAGCTGGGCAATGGAGTTGGGAACTACGAAGATTTGTTGGATGTAAAATATGGTGACCCATCCAAACAAGGTTTGTCGTAAAACTAATTTTTTAATTAAATGTGTTTGTTGTTTTAAGATACAATTTGTTTAGTTTTTGCGAGCTTCAATTACTTTCGTTATAAGCAATGGTCGACTGTATTGGTTAAATTAATGTTCCTATTTTATCGATGTACTTGATTATCATAGTATAGTGGTATGTAAAAGTCTATTTTGCTTTTGCTTATGTACCACGCAGACATGAATGCGACTGGTTTGAACCTCTTAATCACAAGTCGACTTTAGCCTCTGTATTAGTCGCCCGTAACCAAGATAAAACCTGGGACAAATACATGTTTGTCCGAGTTGATCCAGTCGCATACCAAATCAACTGGAGAATATCAAAGAATCCAAAATAATTACAGTAGTACTGATAACGAAAAAGACTAAACACAGAATATAGCTTAAAAAGAGGCAATGGAAAGGTATGTATGAAAATAAAGTGGGACGTGGAGAAAAGTTTATGAAATGCTTTTCCAGCACTATTATTATTATTATTATTATTATTATTATTATTATTATTATTAGCTTTACTCAGTGTTATATTTTTGGTGTAATATAAAGTTCTCAGAGCAAAGCATTTCATCAAGTTTCTGTTTCTTATTTCTTGATTGGTCCTGATGATAAATATTGGGTGATCGCCAATTAGTAGTTAGCAGTTCAAGAATATACATCTGAATAATGTACGTTCATTTCGATGTGCTTTTTCCTAAATCTTACAACGAAAGGTCGTTAACTTTTCACATACGCACCTGAATGAATAGGTTGTACAATTAATTGACACGATGATCTGTTGAAACAAACAAAAGAAAAATAACTTGTTAAAATGTCTAGATGGTAAGAACTGGTAGCCCAAGCCAGTTCCGGACTATGCCATCTAATTTCTCCAACCACTGGTCAGTTATCGGTTCCTAAACAACTAGTAGATAACTATTATTGTTATCTTTCTGTTTCGGTGAAAAGTGGACAATTATTTTATCTCTAAAATGATACTAGAAGGTCGCTCCACAAGCAGACCAAATTTCCGATCTCATATATAAGTTTACTTACTATAATTAGACATTTGAATCTGCATATTTGTCACCTACTTCCACTTTAGTAATTCTTATAGGGATATCATAGAGCTAATGTATTTAATGTCATTCTATTGTAGGATGTTCATAATAAATCCATTAATTTATAATTTACAATATATATATATATATATATATATATATATATATATATATATAACGATTTTTGTGTTTTTGTATTTTAGTTGGTTTCAAAACTAGCTCGAACCCACCCAACTATAATGCATTTCAATCTCAAGGAATGTCACTGGATACTGTCGGTGGAAAGTTATCTTCTGCCTCTCATTCCAACAACGGATCTCTGGTACAAAATTTTAACCATGGGAATGCCAATTCTCATGCACAGCACTTTTCACCACAATTTTACGCATCTGCGACGGGTTCACCATACATGAACACAGTTGCTGCCGCTGTAGCTGCAGCAGCTGCTGCTAAACATGGACCCAACAATAGCTCTACCGTCAGTACAAATCAATCTAATCCAAATATCGGTGTCGCTACTAACCAAGGTGGCGCTGTTACGGGGCAAAATCAAATACATTTACCTGGGAACCCGTCTCAAGGAATGGTCTTGGGTAATGCAGGTCAAAGTTTACATCACCAACGTGCTCCAATTCCACACGCACAACATTGACTTAAATGAATTACTGATCAAGTTGTTATATTAAGCTAGTTGTTGTTTGTCACTCTGCTTTGGCTAACCTTAAATCAAAGTTGTCCATATAGTGGTTTTTTACTCGATTTGACTTAGATGGTCGAGACATTTGCCTTTTAGATTTTTGGCATGTGTAAATAGATACAAACGTCCTACCAAGATTATTACATTGAGACATGTTTTCTTTCCAATTTATGTTTCTGCGAAATGCTTGCATTAGGTTTTCACTTTAACTTCATTTTCTTACTGATGTTCACATCCTCATATGTTGCATATCTCTCATGAGCTTTCGTTTTTGTATCCATTATACTCGTTCAGCTTGATCCTAACGAATCGAAATCGCTGATCCAAAATAAACTTATTTGACGTATCTCTTGGTTTTCTATTAGATTTTTAGTCACATTGCTGATTGTCATTATTGGTTTTCAGGGGGCTGAAGGATGACAAAAACGGTTTGCCTGAAAAATTCACATGAATGGCATCCTTATGTTCATCAATATGGGTATTATGATCCAGTAACAGTTGGTAGTATTGACGGTACAGATACGACTCCACATGACCGGGCAATTCAGCGCGCCTTAACATCATCTTATAAGAGTAAAGATCACGTTTTTAACCGGAATGCAAAGGTACATATCAATTTTTTGTTTGGTAGTCGAAATCGTTACTTACACTGTAGTTCGTTTCCCTAAGGTCGAACAATATTGAGTAATAGATACTTCTGTATTTTACTACACACTTCATGTTAGAAACTGACTATCTCTAAAAATTCTGGTAATGTATTTCCAGTTACTAGTAACTTACGGGAACTAGATGTAATTATCTTGTCAATATCTGTGGTAATTTGAATTTACGATATAAAAGGCTGGTATATCATACATTTGGGTGTTTACTGCTAATAGAGGAGGGTACCATAACGAGGGCTTTTTACTGATTGCTTATATTTATCTAATAGCATTGATTATAGTGGTTCTGTGCACGGACAGGTCGGCTAATCGCTCCCGTAGCTTATGAAACTGTCATCGGGATTTGTTAGTTTGCCGACTTACATATCTTCGGGATATGGTTGTCACTCAAATTTCGGAGTTTATCAAAGTGATGGAATGGACTGGGTGTTCAACGATGATATTTCACTCGAAATATGTTGTGACTTTATAAAGAAAGCCGCTGTCCATTAGTTATGACTATAAAATACGGAGGCCGTATCCAATTCGTTATGATTTTATGTCCGACTTTTTATCACGTGAATTACCCAACAATCGGAATACGACTTGTCTAGTCTTAACGCTGTGCCTAATCAATGACGTTCTACCAGTATGAGCAGTCTAGCGATTTCATTGATCCCTTGTCCGCCTAACCTTTCCAATTGCAGCTTCTGCTATGCGGATCGTTTGTTTCAAGGATACTCGGTTTATATACCCGACAGACAAACCGCATCACACCATAAGATAGAAAATAATGTTTGTGCAAAATCAAGCCAAATGTGGCTGTGAACGTTGGAGACATTAATCAATAAACTGAATATAATTCACGGACTTTAAATCGTATAATAATAATTCATAGGTCAGAATGAAGCTTATAATAAGATGAATATAGATATGCACAATCTAATTACCCAATAGTTAAACAATAAGAATATATATATAGAATAATAGTCCACCAGGATATAACAAAATAGGACGTAACATTACACTAGGTGTAGTTGGGATATGGATCACTATACTTTGTGACAAGGTGTGAAATCTATTTTTCACTCAGAACACCAAATACTATTTGCTTACAATGATGAAGTTGGTAAACTGGGCCACTTATAAAAAGTTTGGTGTTGTACGCCCAGTCACGTATTCGTTATGGGTAGCTCCAATTTGTAATGGTTCGCGAAGCTAACGGGACTATTCTTCTGTATTCAGACTCCTCATCCAGTCTAAATGACGATTTGCAAAATCATTCATACCTACTACCTTCACTTGAGGATTCATTATTTAAATTAAGGGATGCACTCTCACAATACGTGGCGTTTATTCAAAACGTAATCGCTAATGGAAAGCAATATAGTTTCCAAAGCTTCTGACTTCGTCATTTTACCAGCCCAACTGATTACCATCTAACTTAAAATTGGCTCCAAAATCCTTTCAGCAGTTAATAAATATGATCTCGATAATGCATTGGCTTTTTAGGATGGCATTATAGTTGTTAGTTACACTATGGATCAGCTAATGACTCGTTTATGGATTTCCACTTACTGGAAGCACTCGGTTGCCTCTGTAATATTCTGACTGGTCTTTAGGGACTTTAGTATTTTTGGACGAACAGTTTGTTCACATATACTTTATATGAGTTGTGAAGTTAGCATTATTGACGTACTTGGAAAATACAACACCTATTTATGGTTTGTAAGTTGTGTAACGGTATATAAAATATTCTCAAACATAAATAAACACATCATGGATTATAGATCTCTATTGTCAGCGTTTCCTCATTTGAGTTGCTGGGGTTCGTTATTTGGTACCTATTTTACATCGACCTATTTTTATATCTCTGTTCAAATTGTTGCTATGCTGAGGAAGGAATAATAATTGTGTACTAAACCAAACCTATGAATGTTGTTGTTGCCGTTATCATCATTACTGTTTGCATTTAATCTTTTCTTTTTTGTTATTAATACTGAGGCTACAATATTTGTAGGAAGACTACCTTATCATGCTTCAAAAATTTGTTTACAAAAAGCACTTCATGAACTGTTGAATAAAAATTTAGGAAATGATTTAAATAAGAAATCTAGAAAATACTGTCGTAGTCGTTCCCCATTTTCCTGTTATGAAATTTGGCCAAAAATTCATATTGTTCACAACATTGTTACTGGCTATCCATGTGGCTATGCATTTGCATATTTTTCATCAGAATCAGATGCCGAACGTGTACTGCGTGTTTGGCGTAATCAAACTACTGTTTCAACCAAATTACACTGTGGACTAAAAGATGAACGACACTGTGGTTTAGACATACCTGATGGCGATAAGGTTCGTTTCGATATAGTTTTATAGTGTTAATGTAATATATAATATCACTGCCAATTTATTTTAATCTAAACGTAACTAAACAATTGAGCACAGATCCTTGTAATTGAATTTGAAAAAAATCTCGTATTAGAGGCTAGTGACACTATTCAGCTGTTCAAACAAAATCCATTTCTATAACTACTACGTTAACCAATCTAATTTGGTGATAACTGCAGTGAAGGTTCTTTTACGTTACGACTTGACAAATATTACTGTTTGTGAATAATTTCGTGTTGTATCTCACTTATTATATCATTCAGCCGTCTTAAATTTTATAATAGGAATTAGAAAGAGAAATTGATTATGAATGCAGTGGTCTTGAGTGCTGTTAGAGGTATGATGGCAGTTATCATATCCCGGTTACCCACACCGTGCAAGGGTTCTCCTAGAGGTACCTGCAAAGGAAATTGGGTTAGAGGTGGTCTTAGTGACCTGGTAGCGTGACCGCAGTGCCCAAGGAACAACTGCTTGAGGTCGGTCACACACGACCTTTTTGTGGGCAATTTTCGTGTTAGCTCCGTACTTGTTGGTACCTTTCCGAAGGAAATAGAAATCCGTGGGATAAAGCGAGGTGTGCATTTTTAGGTTCGGCCTTTTCTAACCCCACCCCTCCTTGTGGGAAGGCAGCATCGCTGTTATACAGGTTTTCTGAAGGAAACTTCTTACTGCCGTCACACCTCTGTACAGTCAAAGGTACGACTTCGCCTCCGGACTTTGGGCTTGCTGCTTTTCGTCTTACTGTTCTTAAACCGACTTGTCTGGCATGGTAGGGCCTTGAAGAACTGGTGTTCCATCCAGTATAGCTTGATTGGTTCATTATGATAGGCAAGCCCGACCACCACGTCAAGGTAGCATCTACGGTTGGGGTCCGCGCAACTATCGTAACCAATGGTTGAAGACTGTGGGTGACATGGCTCAAAATCAACCACAATGACGTTGGCGTTTACACTCTTTGTCTTTTCTTAAACCGTGAGATTAAAATTACTCTTTAACTTTATTTCTACGAACTAATTCTTCCTTCCTGTATTATACTCATACACAATATTTCTTTTATATATTACTACCATTGAAGTAACTACTTTTATGAATTTTGTGTTGATCTTGTTGTGCTAATGAGGTGTGACAACTTGTATCGATGCATATATGTGCATGGTTCTACGCTGTTGCTGTCTGACTAACTGATTTAGATTATATAACTTAGTTCCGTCCTTTTATTTGGCTCCTCACAAGCGGTCCACCTAGGGGAGTTGGATCAGATCTTTAGGTCGAAGGCTCCAGGTGTGGCCTACTAAGAAAACCACCTGCCTCGGTCTGGGCACTAGGGTGATATCACAGCCCACTCACAAATCAAATGAATGTTGTGGCTCATATGTATTCGGTGCCCTTTTGTAACAGTATTTATGTGTTCAAATAAATAAATAAGGCTCCTCACCAATATTGATCCACAACACCAGGGGTTGCACACAATATTTTCAGGTTTTGTGGCGAGAGCTTAACCTTTGAGCTGATGAGATAACATCCAATGGTTTTCATCTTTAACTTTAATCAGCTGATGATATTGCAGAACCTTCATTAAGTATCATCAGTAGACAACTGGCTTATTCCCAACATGGTTGAAACTCTACTTATCACAAATTTTCATTATTATAATTTTATTTTTTCTGATAAATTCCCATAAGCTAATATTTATTAAAACAGTAACCACTGTCTCAGATAATAAGATTTTAAATAGAATTCGTTGACCGAATTATTCATGCTTTCGTAATGTCTAGTTGAGATATTTATGGTTATTAAACTATTAGTTCATCTGTAACAAACCACGGATTAATGTACATGACTTGCAGTTATACTATTTTTGGAAAGGGCTGTTAATTGAACAACCTTATACGTATTCACTTAGTATTGTTTGTTTGGATCTTCCCATCGATGTGTTTAGGACTGCAACTGGTCAGTCTCTAATTGGCATATGTGCATACTGTGCGTATTGCCTCGATATACCTTAATTCACAAGCATGGTAAGCAGAGATGGATAGTGGCTGGCAGTGGAATCCAGGACGCGCGTTTCGTCCTATTTGGGACTCGTCAGCTGGATGTACCTGCATCTCAGAGTTGATGTTCACTCTGGGACTCGAACCCAGTACCCTCGCTTCAAACGCCATCGCGTTATCCACTCGGCCACTGAATCCTGATAGCCACTTGCTTGTGCGATGGGGTGAAGTTTGAATTCACTTAGTATTGTTTGTTTGGATCTTCCCATCGATGTGTTTAGGACTGCAACTGGTCAGTCTCTAATTGGCATATGTGCATACTGTGCGTATTGCCTCGATATACCTTAATTCACAAGCATGGTAAGCAGAGATGGATAGTGGCTGGCAGTGGAATCCAGGACGCGCGTTTCGTCCTATTTGGGACTCGTCAGCTGGATGTACCTGCATCTCAGAGTTGATGTTCACTCTGGGACTCGAACCCAGTACCCTCGCTTCAAACGCCATCGCGTTATCCACTCGGCCACTGAATCCTGATAGCCACTTGCTTGTGCGATGGGGTGAAGTTTGAATTCACTTAGTATTGTTTGTTTGGATCTTCCCATCGATGTGTTTAGGACTGCAACTGGTCAGTCTCTAATTGGCATATGTGCATACTGTGCGTATTGCCTCGATATACCTTAATTCACAAGCATGGTAAGCAGAGATGGATAGTGGCTAGCAGTGGAATCCAGGACGCGCGTTTCGTCCTATTTGGGACTCGTCAGCTGGATGTACCTGCATCTCAGAGTTGATGTTCACTCTGGGACTCGAACCCAGTACCCTCGCTTCAAACGCCATCGCGTTATCCACTCGGCCACTGAATCCTGATAGCCACTTGCTTGTGCGATGGGGTGAAGTTTGAATTCACTTAGTATTGTTTGTTTGGATCTTCCCATCGATGTGTTTAGGACTGCAACTGGTCAGTCTCTAATTGGCATATGTGCATACTGTGCGTATTGCCTCGATATACCTTAATTCACAAGCATGGTAAGCAGAGATGGATAGTGGCTAGCAGTGGAATCCAGGACGCGCGTTTCGTCCTATTTGGGACTCGTCAGCTGGATGTACCTGCATCTCAGAGTTGATGTTCACTCTGGGACTCGAACCCAGTACCCTCGCTTCAAACGCCATCGCGTTATCCACTCGGCCACTGAATCCTGATAGCCACTTGCTTGTGCGATGGGGTGAAGTTTGAATTCACTTAGTATTGTTTGTTTGGATCTTCCCATCGATGTGTTTAGGACTGCAACTGGTCAGTCTCTAATTGGCATATGTGCATACTGTGCGTATTGCCTCGATATACCTTAATTCACAAGCATGGTAAGCAGAGATGGATAGTGGCTAGCAGTGGAATCCAGGACGCGCGTTTCGTCCTATTTGGGACTCGTCAGCTGGATGTACCTGCATCTCAGAGTTGATGTTCACTCTGGGACTCGAACCCAGTACCCTCGCTTCAAACGCCATCGCGTTATCCACTCGGCCACTGAATCCTGATAGCCACTTGCTTGTGCGATGGGGTGAAGTTTGAATTCACTTAGTATTGTTTGTTTGGATCTTCCCATCGATGTGTTTAGGACTGCAACTGGTCAGTCTCTAATTGGCATATGTGCATACTGTGCGTATTGCCTCGATATACCTTAATTCACAAGCATGGTAAGCAGAGATGGATAGTGGCTAGCAGTGGAATCCAGGACGCGCGTTTCGTCCTATTTGGGACTCGTCAGCTGGATGTACCTGCATCTCAGAGTTGATGTTCACTCTGGGACTCGAACCCAGTACCCTCGCTTCAAACGCCATCGCGTTATCCACTCGGCCACTGAATCCTGATAGCCACTTGCTTGTGCGATGGGGTGAAGTTTGAATTCACTTAGTATTGTTTGTTTGGATCTTCCCATCGATGTGTTTAGGACTGCAACTGGTCAGTCTCTAATTGGCATATGTGCATACTGTGCGTATTGCCTCGATATACCTTAATTCACAAGCATGGTAAGCAGAGATGGATAGTGGCTAGCAGTGGAATCCAGGACGCGCGTTTCGTCCTATTTGGGACTCGTCAGCTGGATGTACCTGCATCTCAGAGTTGATGTTCACTCTGGGACTCGAACCCAGTACCCTCGCTTCAAACGCCATCGCGTTATCCACTCGGCCACTGAATCCTGATAGCCACTTGCTTGTGCGATGGGGTGAAGTTTGAATTCACTTAGTATTGTTTGTTTGGATCTTCCCATCGATGTGTTTAGGACTGCAACTGGTCAGTCTCTAATTGGCATATGTGCATACTGTGCGTATTGCCTCGATATACCTTAATTCACAAGCATGGTAAGCAGAGATGGATAGTGGCTAGCAGTGGAATCCAGGACGCGCGTTTCGTCCTATTTGGGACTCGTCAGCTGGATGTACCTGCATCTCAGAGTTGATGTTCACTCTGGGACTCGAACCCAGTACCCTCGCTTCAAACGCCATCGCGTTATCCACTCGGCCACTGAGTCCTGATAGCCACTTGCTTGTGCGATGGGGTGAAGTTTGAATTCACTTAGTATTGTTTGTTTGGATCTTCCCATCGATGTGTTTAGGACTGCAACTGGTCAGTCTCTAATTGGCATATGTGCATACTGTGCGTATTGCCTCGATATACCTTAATTCACAAGCATGGTAAGCAGAGATGGATAGTGGCTAGCAGTGGAATCCAGGACGCGCGTTTCGTCCTATTTGGGACTCGTCAGCTGGATGTACCTGCATCTCAGAGTTGATGTTCACTCTGGGACTCGAACCCAGTACCCTCGCTTCAAACGCCATCGCGTTATCCACTCGGCCACTGAATCCTGATAGCCACTTGCTTGTGCGATGGGGTGAAGTTTGAATTCACTTAGTATTGTTTGTTTGGATCTTCCCATCGATGTGTTTAGGACTGCAACTGGTCAGTCTCTAATTGGC